CTCTTTATTTACTCAGTGTGCTTATGGTTCATAGTTCTCTTCTTTATAGCAAAAGTACGTGCTAGTGAGTTGCTACAATTTCTGTCCAAAATTATCATGGACAATTAGTTTCAAGGAAAATGTTAACAGCTTTATGTAATCAATGAGAATATAACCAATTATCATTAGATTGAATTCTCTTACCCTGCATTTTTATCCAGAAACTTTTTCTTTTAAGTTCATATTTCTTGATGTCTAACTTCTTAGTTATGGTGGCAGCTGTATAACATTTCCAAGTGAAGACTGGGAGATTGCAGACTCAACTTTGCAATTTTGGTACTTTTTTGTTGGGTTCATTTTGCTTTGTGAACTCGTAGGAGTTAAATTGGGCCTCATAAATGGAATCTGTTGCATTTTATGTTTTTTGCTGAAATATGTTTGCATCAGCTTCACGTTTTAGTAAGAGGGTTTTGTGGATAGATGACGTGCATGCATGATGTATTATCTGATTATTACTTATAACATCTGTTTGCATGTCAACTGGGTTGATACCTCTTGGAACTAGGGATGGTTCACTAGTTTTTGGGTAATTGGAGCATTAAAAAAAAAACGTATCAAGATCTTCCCATTCTACTTTGATTGTGGGATGTTACAAACTATCTTCTTTAAGCTTCATGTCCCCATGGAAGAAAGACTATTTATGTATTCATATTATTAAAAGAAGAGGAAGATCATTTATCAGTCAGTTTACCAACTAACAAAATGAAATTCACATTTTCAACATGCTAGTTGCTGCTGAGCATCAGGGCTTCAGTTTTGTGCTCCCATTTGGTCAGTGAGCCAAAGATACATTGGACAGTGTTCCATTGCAGTACTTAGGCTATTAGCATATATCAGGTCTTTTCTAGTGCTGTTTTGCAACGTGAAATCTTCAATTTAGAAATTGTATATTGTTGGGAATTGTATGGAAAGTAGGGTAGATGGTATATTAGTGATAAAAAATACAGTATAGGTTAAAAACAAACCATAAACTCCTTTACAAGCTCTATTCGACCTTCATTGCATAAATAGAAGAGAAAACCCTAAAGAGGTAAGGCTAACCTTCATAGCTGGCCACCCTAGACCAACTGCCGGCAACAGCTGCTGGCCACCAGCGGTAGCAAAACTGCCCTTCATTTTTGGCGTTAGAATCCTCCAGCTGCGGCTCTAGTACAGGCATTTTTGTCCAGCCGTGCATCCACAATCTGTCTTATGCTGTCCAATTCTCTTTGTCACTGCTCCTGGCCGTTGCACCACCCAGTTGAATGCCTGCCCTCTGCCATGCCAGCCGCTGCCCCTCCAGCCGCGCTTGAATCTGTCCAGCTAGTCACCACCAGTCCGATCCGATAAGCGGTGAAGCTAAAATTTCTTGAAAAATGTTGGATGTTACGTCTCAATCTACAGGCACCAACATTCCCAATGGGAAACTCAGCACAAAATAACGGTGAATTTCAACCAAAATTTAGATTGCCTATCACTTAAATGGTAAGGATTATCTGAGTTGGTCACAGTTAATTTGAACCACTCTCAAGGGTTGAACAAAGTTAAACCATCTTCTGGGTACTAGACCAAAGCCAGGAGATCCTACTTTTGATGCTTGGGATGAGGAAAATTCTATAACTATGTCTTTCTTTGGAGCTCTAGGACCCTAAAAGATCAGTAAGCCAGTTATGTCTCTACCAATGATATAAGATATTTGATTTCAATCCATGAGATCTATTTCAAAGGGAAAGATGCAGTGCAGATTTATGATTTGACAATCAAAATCTAGGCAATTAAACAAGATAACAAGACAGTCATAGAGTATCCAAACTATTTGAACTCCATATAGCAAGAGCTCTACTAGTACTGTAGTATCACTATGGAAAGCAGCAAAGACGTAGGCATTCTTAGGAAATATATTGAAAATGATAGTACTTACCAATTTATGACAGGGCTTAGTAAGGAATATGATTAGGTAAGAGTCTAGATTCTGAGGAAAGAAGAGATGGTGTCTTTCAATGAAGTAATATCCTTTATCAGTATAGAAGAAAGTAGAAGAAGAGTTATGCTTGAATCTTGCACAACTGAAGGCTCTACCATGGTAAGTAAAGGTTCCAAACCTTGACAATTAGGGAAGAGACCAAATACAGTGAGACCTCCATTGCTGACAGGGACAACAGGGAAAAACTTTGGTGTATCTTTTGCAAGAAACCAAAACACACCAAGAAAAAATACCGAAGCTCCATAGGAGGCCGATTACCTCAAGCAAGGATTGGGGATACAGGAAAAACCAAGGACACACACATGTAGCTCAAGAGGAAAAGACACAAAGACTTGTGATTTCAAAGCAGAAATTGAGTGACTGTGAATCCAACTTGAGCAACTTGAAAAACCTAAAGGTACATGTTTCATAGCACACCCAGTTATGTTACCTATTTCTCATGGTTCAAATGTCTTAAATAAATTCTTTTCATTATCATGGATAGTGGACCCTAGAGCTACTAACCATATGACAAACTCTCCTAAATTGTTTGACACTTATGCTCCATATCTCATCAATAGGAAGATTGCTATTACTGATAATCACTACTCATAAGATTGAGCTCTATAATTTATTCAAGAAAAGAAAAAAAAGATGACGAATTAAGAATTCTTTTGTCTCTCTCTCTCTCTCTACCCTAATCTCTACCTAAGTATGTTGACGCTATCTTGCTCTTCACTCGCCAGATAGAGTGTAGCGGGTGTTTCTTCGTGGACTGTTGCCAGACGGCAACGATCGTTTCTGATTACTATGGTGGTGGGCTTGAGGCGTTTTTTAGTGGTTGAACAAAAGTCTTTTGATGTGGTTGGAGAGGGTAGCGGAGTTATGATTTATGAAAACAGGAGGGGCTTTCAGAAATCAATTTTCTTCCAGAAGGGTGATATTGAATGGCTCATTCAGTGTTTTAGAGAGTTCAAATGGAAGAAGGAGGAGGGGGCGTGGGGGAGGAGTAGAAGACGCAGTTGGGGAAACCTTTGGATGGTATTGAGTGGTAACAAAAGAGGGAAGTTTCTGGTATTGTCGGAAGACATTGAAGGATCCAAGGGGAGAATCAATAGGAACTTCCTTCCAGAGGGGAACATA